TCCGCCCTTAAAGAAGGTCACCCCAGAAGTAGCCTTTGAGCTCACCTGGGCCAAACACCTACTTCTTTTCCTTCCTAAACTTGTTACGTGGTACACGCGCTCGCTGGTGGGCACAGGCTGAGAAAGCACCCGAGAGGGATGGCCATCCTGCAGTCTCTTCTCCCCGTGGGGTAGGCATGCACACACACTAGCTGTGTTTTTCAGGCTGTTGGAGCCAGGCCTTGAACTACACAATTGGCTGTGTGGGATTTAGCCACTTTAACCACTATGTGACCGGCTGGCCAAGTACTTGCTTTTGCAGAAGAAAACTGAGGCCCAGGCAGAGGAGATGACGCGTGACTGACCAGTGGCAGGGAGGGGCTAGAACCCACAAGTCTTTATTGCGACTTGGTGTTCGAGACACTGGCTTCTCACTTGTATGATACTACACCAGGGGGGTCTTTGGAAGAAAGGCTGCCATCTTGGAGACCCAGAAATACAGTTTCCACATGGGGTGGGACGGTCTGCTAAACCAACTGGGTACAGCCAGGACTGGTCTCTGCAGCGGCCAATGCCTGCCTAGGGGCATCTGCAGTTTCTACTCATCTCCAGTCAGACTCAGTCCTCAGAAAGGACACGCACTTGAGGTGCTCCTGAGTCAACATGGGGCTCTCTTCTGGTGAAGAGCACGCCACCCGCTGCTCCTGGTTCCTTATTAAACACCCCCAGGGAAACTCTCCAAGATAGAAATGAATTTGGCCTACATGATAAAAGCCCGCTTCCACCACAGAAGCACACCAGGCCAGGATGTAGCAGAGGCAACTGGCTGAAAAACCACTCCAAGATTTGAACTCAAAACACCGTCACTGCGGGGCTAGCCAAAGACAAGGAAAGGACACTGGATGAGAAAAGGGCCTTAGGGAGAGAAACGAGCCTCAGTGGCAGAAGGGTACATGTATCTGATAACCGCTGAGTAATGCACTACATGGTCTCGTTTGCCTTTTCCAACCATTTTGTGGCTAAGATACCTTTATTACGATACCACCAATGAGGAAATTCGAGGTTTCGAGAGATGGCTCCACTCTGAGCGTCTCTGCAGAGATGTCCTGCAAAGTCTATAACAGATGGGATTTCACATTCTTGCTTGGGAAGGGTAACGCTGAGCTTTTTCATGATGTAGGAAGCACAGAGCCCTCCTTGCCACGATTCCGTGGCCTGCCGTGCATCTGCTGTTAATATCTTATTTAGTTCTGCATGTCTGCCCCCTCTCCATTTATATGCAGTGACTGCGAAGTTTAATTCTTGTCATAAAGCATTATGAGCAACAGAGACTGAATAAATATGCTAAAAATGTCAAATTTACCACCCTCTTCATGCTTCAACATGCCCCTCAGTGTGCTGGCACAGCAATGAAATGAACTCTTCGATGCAGAGGAGAACGAGTCTCCGGTGTTTAATTTTCATGGAATAGCCCTTCTCCTTAAACTGGGGGAGGTAAGGCCACAGAGAAAGGGAGTTCCTGAGAGGTCCAACAGGCCCAAGGCAGCTCTGCGTCCTAATGCAGCAGTCAGGACAGACCAGGGCCGGACTACTGACAGGGAGCCTGGGACCAACAGTCCACGTGAAACAGGCCCTGAAGACAACTCTTGTTCCGCTCATGGTACAGAGTAGACACCAAGCCCAAGTCCACCCACTGTCCTGCTGCTTCCAGTATACGGTCACAGCACTGGACTCTCCACCCCATTTCTGCATCTCTGTGAGCCTCATCTCGAGGGCCCCTCACTCCTCACACACCGACACCGTGGCCCCTCCGAGGCCGGCTGCTGAGTGCCTGAAGCCAGCTGCTATACTGGTTGCTGTCGCAGGGAATCCTTCATTGAGACATCGAGAACCCTTGGGGGTGTTACTCTCTTCTTCCCATAAGGAAATTGGGTAGCAAAGTGACTGTGAAGTGTCACAAAATTGGGCAACAAGACCCCGATTCACACCCAGGTCTCCTGACTAGGGATCTAGTGCTCTCCTCAATGCAGTCGCAGAGGCCGCCAGTGCTCGGTTCATCCAGCTGGACCATCCAGTGGGGCACTCAAGTGCCCAGCCGTCTTGGGTGGGGCTGTTCACTGGGAGCAAGGCCCCCCCAGCCAGGCCTCCTGGTCACCGGAGGGCGTCCTGCTCTCCAGAGTATACTTACACTCTGTCCATACTCTCTGCACACCGCCCGCAAATTCATGGGCTACACACTCTGAAAGAACTATTAGACGTGAGGCAAATACAAGCCAGGCATGCTAACAACTAAGAGCTCATGACTTTTTTTTTTCTATGAAAAAACAGGAGAAAATAGCCTTGTCAAGTGAGTACAGATTAATGAGAGATGAAATATTCCATTTATGCTTTTAATGTCGCAGTAAGTTCAAAGTACCCTGAACTTCAATTGTCCATGAATTAAAAAGAAAAGACTATCAGGTTTAGCCAGCTGGCAGGTCACCACATGGAGGTTATAACCGGCTAAGAATGAACAAAGCTCTGTGCTCCTGGAAGACAGATGTTTACGGATCTAGCTGGGCTACTCCCGAGTTCCTAAGCAGATGTTCCCAATGAGGATCAGAATCACCTGGGTAACCATTTGTGCAAATATACCAACGTGGTCTGATACTCCTGAGATGAGAGGAAGGGAAAAAATGTGTTCTACAAACAGCTCCCAGCGTGATTCCGGCGACTCCTCCCTCTCCTGGCCTGGCTGAGAATTGCAGCTTCTAAGTGAAGGTGCAGTCCCCAGGGGGGACGGGGCTTGCCCACTTGCCTTAGAGTTAGAGGCTCCCATCAAATCATGACTTCTTTTTGTCTGTGGGTGGGAGCCAAGGTTCTGCTTGTGTGTGGCTAAAAGCAAGGAGCTAAGCTGTCTGGGTTCTTTTTATTTTTTCCTTTATGAGAGAGGGAAGGAGAGGAGAGGAGAGAAGGGAGAGAGAGAGGGTTTCTGTGTCTCCATCCTCTGCCGGAGTCTCCCCATTAGCCAGGATCATATGTGTCCACAACCAAGACCAGCATGTGCAGGTGGGCCCAGGAACTGAACCAGGGCCTCCCTGGGTTCAGTCCAGGGTTGCTTCTAGCTTCCCAAGAGGTGGTGCTGTGTGCCACTGCAGCTGGGCCTATTTGGCTTCATTTGTAGTACTGTTCTGATAAACTGGAAATTCTAAGTAATCAAATTTCACCCACCAACTGCCTGGATCTCCTGGAGAACTGGGCAAACCTGGATCTGCAAGCAGGTATGCACAGACAACCTGAGGCAAAATAAAGCCAGGGTTATAGAATTAGAGAGGGTTAGAGCCAGGGATTTCTTCAGCTTACCTGGCTAACTGCCCTCCTACTCCATTCTTGAAACATTTATTTATTTATTTACTGTTATAGAGAGGTGTTTTTTGTGTTTTTTTTTTTTTTTTTTTTTTTTTTTTTTTTTGCTATAGGGCACATACGCTTGCTAAAGAGACAAAAAATGAGAAATCTCATTTTCTCTGTTTCTCTCTGGGTGGTGCACTGCCCTCAAGCAAGCAAGCAAACAAACAAAAAGAAAGAAAGTATAGAAAAAAAGAGTTTGAAAAGAAATTATATTAATTGACCAATACCCAAGGCATTCTGAGAGGTTCCCCAACTGTAAAACCCTTCCTAATAAATTGGCTGCTGCTGAAAATTAAGTCCATGGCTGGTGATGCCTAGGGCTTTCAGCCTACACTGAACACGAGAGGCCTGGGGGCTGGAAGAAAGAGTGGAGGCACAAGCGATACCTCCCCAGCACGGCCTGGGAGCGCGTTCTTCCCCTGGGGGGGCAAGGCCTGCAGGCTACAGCTGCAGTTATGAGGACGGTGGTGCTCGTGGCCTGTCTCCTGCTGCCACGCTAGCTTCTCACCAGAGACTGGTGGCATGAGGAGGATGACTGAGTGTGGCTCAAAAGAATGAATGTTTCTAAAACAGTGACGTGGCAGGCTCTGAAGGACCTGGGGGCAGGGCAGGGAGGGCTATAAAGGTGACGAATGAACTGGGCTATTAGTTACATTCTGGAGCATCTGACCTCACTGGACAGATGACCGTGCCACCATGGAGTGAACGGCCCTATTGACATGTCAGAGGGCGACTCCACAACCACAGCGGAGCCCCACGTGTCTTACACCCTGGATTACACGACAGACCACTGCTCTGAGTGTGGTTTGTGCTGCTTTGGAACCATTCTTCGGTTCAGTCTCCCTCCCAAACAAGTGATCACAAACGAGACACCACGTTATTAAGTCTACATTACGACCTGCCTCTAATTGTTCAGTGATCTGGCAAATGGTATGCCTTCGTGTCAGGCGTGGGTTGCTACTCAGTCTTTCCACAGTTCTAGAAAGCCCTCTCGTCCTTTACTCGTATCTCGTTGAACACGTGCACTGGGCAGACTCACAGGAGCACTGCCCGGGACCCAACTGCAGCCAAGGCCAAAGGGTAAGAGTCCTGACCTCAGAAATGACATGCTTGATGGGGAAAGGTTACAGACTTGCAAAATAAACGAACAAAAAAAACAAGAGCAGATCCCCAGGGAATGTAAAAACAAAATAAAACACACTGACTTCACACATGTTTCATATACATATTTATATATATTTCATGTACAAAGTTACATTCCGAACCCCAGGGATTCCATAATAGAAATAAATACTGAAATAACTACATTGCTAAATGAGCTTTCTGCTCATCGAAATGAAGCCTCAGCCTCTACAAGACAGCAAGTGGGACACTCTAAAACCCATTTTTCAGATTATAGAGGCGAGTAAAATTCTGGATAAAATGTCTAGGACAAAAAAACAAATTTAGAACATAAAATGGTTAAAATATATTCAAATATTGAGAAGTATAAGACAAAATTAATAAAAACTTAAGAGAAAGAAAAAGACATTTAGTGTTACAGAATAGCATAACCCTGTTAGAAAAGCATTTAGGATTTCCACATGTAATTTTCTCTCCTACTCTTCCCATGTTACTGACGGGACCAAATGAGTCCCTTCCTCAACATGATCAATTAAGAAGAGCCCTATATCTGGTTGAGTCCTTTGGTAACGGTCATAATACTCACGAGGAAATAAATATTCAATTCCACGCCATTTGCAAGACACACATTCTTAGGACGGTCAGTACTCTGAGAAGTTTTGCTTTGTATTGTTACTAAGGCAGCCTATGATAAAGGTTCTATTCCCAAATGTAGGAAGAAATGGACACAGTACAGCAACTGAGAGGATGTACTTGAACCATTCCTAGCAAATATAGTCTGAGAGTCACCTGCTGCGTATTTTGTGCTCAGAATGTTTTAAAAGCCGCAGCTATTAAGAGATTCACTCCTATTTTAAAACGCAGATCCACACAAGTTAGAGAAAAATACATCTTGAAACTGAGCTCCTAGAAAGTATTCTCCCTTTGCCTCACAGAGATTTTAATCTGCATTTAATAGTTAAGTTTTAGGTTGAAGCTCACGATTTTGCCATCTGGGTAGACTGGCAAAGGTCTCACGGTGGCAATTTCACACAGCGTAACCTCATACATAACCAAGGGGAGAAAACGAGAGTTCTCAGGTACCCTAATCTCTGCCAGAGGAGCACAGTTCTGTGCGTGTACTCGGCCTCTCCCTTGCCCGTGACGTGCAGTGCAGGCAGTTCATTCCCCTTGGCTGTTTGCCAGAGGCTGACACTTGGGCATTTCTTCCTGAGGTTACCTCTTCGACTAAAGTGAACATTACAAGGATATAAACCTGCTATTGGAGAAAAGAAGTGGAGCACTCTGTGGAAAGCATTTAACTGAATAACAAATGTAAGGACAAGTCTTAAAAACAAACTGTACAGGTGCTTTTGTTTTCTCTCTGGTCCCTGAAGATAATTAACAGGGCCACAGATAATCTGACATCTTCAGAAAAAATAACTACACACCTATATTCCTTAAATTAAAGCCGTGAAGTTTAAAAAGGGCAATTACAATCACTGTAACATGTTTGCAATCCTCATCCTTAACTCCTGTTTTCCTAAGTTACATTCGGTCACACAAACATGTAGAAGGCTGAACAATGAATATAGGGGTCTGTCTCGTTGGGACTGAAATTCCCAAACGCTTTGGTGTCTCGTTCTTGTGGATTTAGACATTTCCAGTAAATATTTAATAATGATTTTATAGGTGCTGCCAAAAGTGGCTAAGATTTAAAATAAAAGAAAAACAGCAAATAAGCTATAGAATTGTGGCCTACATGTTGGTGCCCTGAAGAAAAGTGACTAAGTATCTCAAGCAAAAAAATATCCTTTTAATACAGCTTCTATCAAAACTTTTTATTTGTTTGTTTGCCTTGTACCATATATTGGCCACAATTCTGCTGTGTGCATAATGTGCTTATAGACACATGTGGTCAAGTAGGTCCAGAGGCTCCTTCCAGCTTATTAAAGCCCATGCAGTTGACCCCCTGATTATGGACCCGGCAGCAAGTCCTTGGTGCACTCTGTATAGTCTCTCTGTATAATCATTCAGAAAAAAATTCCAGGTACTTAAGAATGCTTAGACAATTTGGGACCTGTGTCTGCTTTCTTTTCTTTGAACAAATCCTTTACCCTATAAGTGTATATTTTTAAAATAGTATGTAAAATTATATTCAGTTTTGCTTAGAGTAGTGAATAAAAAATGGCAAATCACATGTCTTTAAGCTTCAGAGGGAGAAGGCCACAGCATCATGGTTTTACAAAACTTATCAAACAAGAAAATCAGCTAAAGCTGGACTCTAAGCAATTTTTTAAAAATGGGCATTGTGAGTGAAAGATGTAATATCAACATTTACTTGAAGGTAGCTTGGCTTTGTCTTCCTCCCCTTCATGGGTTCCCCCTTTGAAGATGGCATTTTAAGCTCAAAAGGGCGCAAAAGCTTAAATGTGTCATTAATATTCAGAATGCCAAGTGCGAGCTGTCCTGTAGTTGTTTACAGAACAAAAGAAAGCAAATTTTAAAATCAAACCCCTCATTCAGTTGGTTAGGCCTGATTCTCTCACTACAATAGTTTTACTCTTATGAACAGGTAAGAGCGGTCCACAATCATTTGGCAAACAGGTGAATTTTTAACACAGAAAAACTCAACCAACCACCACCATCTTCTGGTAGAAGGACAACAAAACATAATTTCCCTTTAAAAATTCTTCCCAGTGCTGCAAGTATCTGCTAAGCTTTATAAATAATAAACTTTTCAGACATGTCAGTACGAAAATGAGTACAACTAGTCTCAAAAACAAAACAAAACAAAACCAGAATATTCAGAGTAGTAGGCCTCATAAACTTTCGAGCTCTAATAGTCAGAAACAGGAAACTTTTATTTAAATAGTGTAGTCTTAATTTCTTTAATATAAAACCCCCCCAAAATCTGATGAAAACAAAGTTTTATATACCATATAAACAAGATTTGTCAGATTTGAAAGTGAAAGTTAAAGTAATTTACAGTTAGCATTTAGCCCCCTCGGGACACTTAGATAAATCCTGATAATCCACCTGATATTAGTGTGTGTCAATTTTATAATACATTGGGGAAAACTCTATTGTCCTTAATGGTACAGTTTCATTTATCAAGTGTTTTTCATTAATTCCATTATTAGTGACAGCTAAAAAGTGACCCCATCCAAGGAAGTGAGTGACATCAGACGGTGGCAGAGTAAGCCACACCTGGATTGCTTTCCATCACTCACTGGCTGACAGAAAGTAAACGCTCTTTGATTTGTTCGCAATACACTGAAATCGCCTATAACACTGGTGTGACAAAACAGCTAGTCCCTCTGTACTGTTACGGTAGGGCAGAGTTTGTAATATAAAGTTAACAGGAAAAAATGCTCACACGTTATGTGGTGAAACTTATTCCACAGAAAGAGCATTAAGTAAAGGGGGAAGGGGAAAGTAAACCATGCAGAAGAGACGGCGTCCCATCTCCAGCTGTGTCCTACGGGCTCACTCACTGCCAGACAGCACTTGCCACACTATCAAATGGCTCCTCTCCGCTTTGGTGACAGAAGGTTCAAGTGGAAGATCCTCTCCAAGAAGTTCCGATTCTCCACCTTCATCGCCTAGTGGATAGAGAGACAAATCAGGCTGAGCACAGAAGTCAGGGATGACGTAAGTTGGACAGTGCTCACGGTCAGTCCGGGAACGAGGTGCGAAGCCTGACCTGACTCCTACTGCAGAAAACAGTGCAAGAAACCCAGGTGTCAGAGCCTTCACTCGCACTTACTCGCGCCACTGCCTGACTCTGAAAAGGCCGGCTGGCCTCCCAGTCGACATTTATAAAACCAGTTCACGACACTACTTAGTCAGCCCAGTCTGTCCGCACACTGATGGTAACAGAAATGGGAACAAAGCTGTCCAATCCTGTGTTCTTCCAAAACGGACACTACTCTCATTTCAACCACCGAGACTAAATACTACTACAAATGTGCAAAGCAAGGGCATAGAGCACACAAACTAATCAAAACAAATAACTCGGGGCCGGCAGATGGAGTAACAGTTATGTCCCTGGACTCTCACGTAGTTGACTGCAGCTTGAGTCCAGGCAGCTTAAAACCTATGCCAGGTGTGTGTGTGTGTGTGTGTGTGTGTGTGTGTGTGTGTGTGTGTCTGTGTCCCAAATCTCAAGAGGAGAACGGAAGGGATGGGATTGCAGCATGGCCATTCCCCGTGGAGGGGTAATTCTCACTTTCTGCCTCTCTGCCTCTCTCTCTCCAGTGAGCACAAGCACTCTATAACAAACAAACAAACAAACAAAAACTCTCCTGTAAGATGGCAGCAGACCCTCAAATATCCTGGGATTTTCTTCCAGTGACTGTCAAGGGTAGGAAAGGTTACAAATTAACACGAATATCAGAGGT